CTGTGCAAACCTTCCTCAGGCAGCTGCAAGAAATCCTTCCTGAGGGCTCCTACCAACCAATACCAAGCACAGAGAGCCAGCAGCACCCGAGCCCAGGGGACAGGAACACTGAACTGGGGCACCACAGGCTCCACAAATCCCGCCTGGAAGTGCCTCCTGTGCCCTGACAGAATGTTCACACCACAAGAGCCACTCAGCCACCTGTTCAGCAAACAGGAACATGTTCTCAGGACATCAAAGACAAGTTTCAGGACTGTTTTCACAGAGGATGCACCGAGACTAAGAATGAAATAAATTAAATAGAATAAAAAAAATTACACAGGAAGAGAGAGAAGTTTTTCAAACACAAAGATGCAGCTCTGCTTCCCAACACTGCTAACAGGAGCTGGTTAACTGTTTGCATCTACAAAAAGAGTGAAAGTCCCAAATAAAAGGGGAGAAAAAAAAAAAAGGATAAATCTCGAGTCACACTTCACAGTTCCCAGACATTATTTTACTAAAAGCACAGTTCCTACTGGGATTTAGAAAGGAGCCACTTACCTGACACAAATAAATCTTGTGCAAGTTCCACTCCTCTCCCAGAGCACAGATTTTGACATCACTGTTCTCCCCATTCAAAAACAGAGTCTGATAAATGTATTTCGATGTGCTTTTCAATTTTTTCCTAGTAAAAAAACCCAAACCAAACAAACAGTGAGACACTCCTTCCAGTTGTCCCATTACAGCAGCTGCAGTGGGTCTCAAGCCCAGGATTTTCCCTGCCATGTCCTTCCCAGGCTGGCACCACTTCCCCACTCCCTGCCTGTGCCACTATTTGCCCAAAATTTGCTGAAATAGTGTGAAATTGAACCAAATCGGCCCCAAAAGGAGATAAAATTGGCCCTAAATCCCCCTGGAAGTCCAGAATTACCCAGAATTCCAAGGTATTCTCAAAATATTCTCCAAATTTCATCAAATTAGAAAAGTGATGAAAATTAGGGGAATTAGAAGCAGAAATTAGGAGATTTTGGTGAAAATGGGAACACCTGGGGAAAATTCTGAGAAAATGGGGTAATTTGAGGAAAAATCAGGGGAATTTAGGGGAAAATGGAAAAATTTGAGCAAAAATGGGGAAAATTGGGCCAAAGATGGGGAAGTTTGGGGCACATTTGGGAAAATGGGGAAGCTTGGGGAAATTCATAAAATTGGGTACATTTGGGGAAAATTATAGGAATTCTGGATTAAAATGTGGAAGTTTTGGTAAACTTTGGGGGAAAATTTGGAGAATTTGGGAGAATTGGTGAAATTTCAGGGAAATGTTGGGAAATTTGGGAAAAATTAAAATAAATATAAAGAAATCTGAGAAAATTTGGAAAATCGATGAAATTTGAGGCAAAAATGGGGGAACATTTTGGGGAAATTTGAAGGGAAATAGAGAAATAAGAGTCAAAATGAGGAAACCGGGAAAATCTGGGAAAACTGCTGGTGCTGGGACATCCCCCGAGCACCCCAGAGCCTCCCCTGACCCCAAAGAGTGGCCTGACCCCCAAAACTCTCACTGCCAGCCTTGGGATAATTAGTCACAACTTAATTTACCAAGAAAGAGCTGCCTGTCTTGATGCACAGTGTTTAAATTATACTGACTCAACCGCAGAACCCGTACATGTAAACATCTTTTTTTTTTCTTTAAATGAAAATCACGTGGATGTATTGGAAAAGAAAATATCATTAACCAGCAGATTACTGGAATACTAATTAATAAGAAAACCGTGTAACTCGTAGCCAATGAGCTCTAATTCCTTTTTTTGCTCGAACGTATGAACAGTAAAAAGCTCCGTAGCTGTTGTGCTTTGTGGGACTCCAGCGAGCAGCCGGGGCAGCACAGCTCTGAGATAAACCATTCACGGAGTGCGTCAGCCCCGGACACTCAGCGGGGACCAGCCCCGTTCTCCGGGGGCAGCGGGGCCCGGAGCCCCCCCAGCTCCGGCAAAACAAACAAACAAACCCCCCAAAACCCTCAAAAAAGCCTAAATCAGAAAACCTCAATAACCCTTCCCGAGGGGGCCCCGCGGTGCCCCCCGAGCTGCCCCCCCGCCCCCTCTGCCCGGTCCCGCCCGGGGTCACCGCGGCCCCCAGACCTGCGGCCCCGGAGGTGCAGCAGCCGCTCGTCCCGCTCGGTGTCGCCGTCGCTGTCGCTGTCCCCGGGCCCCTCGGCGGCCCCGCCGCGCTTCCTCTTGCCGTTCCTGCCGGCCCTGCCCGCCGCCGCCGCCGCCTCGCCCCGCGGGACGGGCCCCCTCCGCCGCAGGACGCGGCTGCCCAGGGCGCCCATGGCCGGCCCGGCCCCGCCGCCTCATGAGGCCGCGCCGAGCGGGGCCGGAGCGGGAGCGGGGCCGGAGCGGGAGCGGGGCCGGAGCAGCAGCGGCGCCTCAGCCCCGGCCGGCGGCGGCCGCGGCCTCTGCGCCTGCGCGGCGGGACCGCCCCGGACGGGCTTCCGGGGACCGGGGAACATTTCCTGCCCCTGAACGGGCCTTTTCCTGCCCCTGAGCGGGGCTGTTCCCGAACCTGGAACGGGCCTTTCTGTGCCCCGGGAATGGGCTTTTTCTGTCCCAGGAACGGGCCTTTTCCTGCCCCTGAGTGGGCCTGTTCCCGAGCCAGGAACGGGCCTTTTCCTGCCCCACAAACGGGCCCTTCTTGCTCCATGAGTGGGTCTTTCCTGACCTGGGAACAGGCCTTTTCCTGCCCCTTGAATGGGAATTTTCCTGCTCCGTGAATGGCCCATCCTGGAGGGTTTTCCAGGGATCAGACCCTTCCCACTGTGTGGGTTCGTTCAGCCCTGCAGTGCCCCAGCACTGCGTGTCTGCAGCTGCCAGAGCTCAGAGCACTGCGGGATCCCCGTGTCTGCAAAGAATGGGATTCTTCACCGCCTTTGCAACGCTCCAGTAATGACACGCTCAAGAGGGACATTTATTCATGTCAGAGCTGCACAAGCCTG